CTTGGCTTTCCTGATCAGAATTGCCTGATCTCACACATTTCCTAGATTGTTGTGGGAAATGTGTATTGGGAGAGCTAGGTAAAAGTTTTGACTCTCATTCTACCATCTCAACTCTGCCTCCTGAGAAAGGCTTCTTACAGAAGGTGAGACCACCTGAAACTTGAAGGAAAAGCTAGGAGGTAGAGAGGAGTAGAGGTTTCTAAGCATGAGGGACAATAAATAAAAATGTTTGGAGTAGGGGGAAAAATGTTATATTCAAGAAATAGCAAGAACGCCCATGTCACTGGATCACAGAGAACATGGAAGGAAGAAAGGACATTTATTAAGTGCCTGCTGTGTTCCAGGCACTGTGCTAAGTACTTTACAGATACCTTGTTTGATCTTCAGTAGTCTTGGGAGCTAGGTGCTATTGTTATGCCCATTTTATAGTTGAGGAAACAAAGGTAGACAAAGGTTAAATGACTTGTTTGGAGTCACACAGCTAGTAAGTGTCTGAGGTGGGATTTGAACTCAGGTCTTCTTAACTCCAGGCCTCACTCTCTGTCCTCTCTACTCCTTAGTTGCCTCATTTGGAAGAAACTAGAGGGAAGTAAGCTATTACACTAGAAGAGTAGAAAGGAGCCAGGTTATAAATGGCTTTGAAAGTCAAACAGAGGATTTTTATATTTGACCCTGGAGGTAATAGGAGGCCACTGGAGTTTTTTATTTTTATTTTTTTTTCTCTTAGAGGAAACCTCCAATAACACTTTTATTAAATTAGTGCAAACATCACAGATTTTCAGTCTAATCAAAACCATAGTCATCTCTGAATGGGGCTCACCTTAATAAGGAAGAAAAGCTTCCATAAATAAACTTATGGAAGCTTCTTCTGGGTCAAATACCATGATGGGAGAGAAGGCAGGGGGCAGCTTTCCCATACTTTGCCCTATGGCAGGTTGTCAGGAGGAGAAGGGCTGAGGAGATGTTTACTATAATGTGGGGTCCAGTACAGAGCAACAAAGAGTCTTAACCACAAGTTTTTATAGCTTCTAATTCTAGTGGTATCATCAAGGGCCATTATTGTTATACAGTCTGCTCCTGGGGTAGCTTTCTCCTCAGGA